CATAGAAATGGGAATATAAATTTAAATAACTTAAATACATGATAATAGTGCACGAGTATATTATATATCTTGTAACATATTTTTTTTAAATATGTTAATACTAAAATAAAATTCAATGTTGTATTTATTTTAGTATTTTTATATTGTTTTTCATATTTTTTGAGATGGCTTTTTCTTCTTTGATTTTTTAATGCTTGAAATAGTTGATCTTGTAACAATCATATTTCTATAATCATCTTGTGAATAATCTATTGTAATTCGGTTGGCAGGCTAAAAATGTAATTTACATGATAAGTAAATAAGTAATGACAGTGGTGTACTCAGATATTTTCAATGTGAGAAGGGGGAAATAACAAAATTATATGTTTATACATATAAATCAAAATATTTGTTAAATTGTATGATTCATTTTTATACATCTATACATATAATCGAAAAATACCACCCTCCTCAAGTGTACGCTGCGACTGATTAATGGTATTTAATATTTGAAATTATGTAAATAATTATGTAAAATTAATTTTGATGAAAAAAATTTTTTTAAATATTTAAATGTTTGTAAACACATACAAATATTTAGATTACAAGTTTTGATAAAAGTTATTAATTATTGTATGTTAGGATATTAGATTCTAAGTGTGGCATTGAATGTATTGATTTTACAATAATGTGTGTATTTTGTTCATGTCACCACCCTAGAAAAATTATTGTAATATTTTAGTTATGAATATTAAATTTCTTTTTTTAATGATAAAAATACATGATTTACTTAGGTACTTCATTAATCAATTACAGTCATTCGGCTGAATACTATGTCAATCAATCAGCTACATATATGGTATGGAAAAACTAATTTTTGTCATACTCATGTATTGTCAGAATTATCTTTTTTTTTTTGTATACATATATTATTTATTTTTGTTATTGCTGCCATTTCATGTATAATAAATGTTACCATGTCGTATCCAGAGGCACAAACTAATACAAATTATGGAGGGTGGAAGGGGGAGTAAAACAAAAGTATTCAATATCCACTTATAAAAAAAAATTCTCTGCGATCACATAATATATTCCTTCTAAGTTCTAATAACAACCTTACTCTAAAAATAAAAACATACAAATTAGAATAGTAAATCTCAATTATAATAGTTAATAACAAAATGGGTACTTGTTTGTTGATCTCTGCTATAAATAGGTTAGGTTAGGTCATATTTTACAAAATGTTACTGAAGGCATTTCTTGGGGCTTGGGYCCAGTATTATATGAAATGAACAATTGTGTGTGTTGGTAGTCTAGAATYAAGTAGCCAATTATTAACTTTTAAACCCTTTACCTTCCGACAACTTATTTACCGACACTGCCATTGCTCCCTTAACAAACATTATATAGCAACTTTCACACATTTCACTTACTTTAATTACATTATTATTTTGTAAAAATGTGATATCAGTATCATTGTTAAAAACAACTGTAATTTACTAAAATTTTATAGGTTAAGTTAAAAAACTGTATGAACAATAATGACACACTARWMMAACTATACGGCAGTACAATAGCATACAAGAGTAGCAGAGAGAGAAATTGTATACAGTATACTGGCGGGACAATAACAAACAATTACCATAAAATGTATTAAATAAAAATAGAAAATATAATTTACATTGTGAAATAACAATATCCGCCAACATTTAAAAAAAATATAACTATTACCTAATCTTAAATTGAGTTCAATCCATTTTCAAAAAAGGAGTAATAATAAATGAAACTTATAGCTCATTTTTCTATAAAATTTATTTTTATATTTTCATTTAATCTAAAAAAAAGTATAAAATATTTTTATACTAAATGTTCAGTGTTATGAAGGGCGGCAGTTACCCCCCTGTTCTCCTAGATTTGCCAAGTTTGTTGAAAAATTTAGGTTATAAAAACGCAATTAATGGTTTTTGTTTAAAATATTATTATTGTTATATCTAAAATTTATGTTTATTTTGTTACTTAATAAAAGTAATTTTGTTGATTCTTAGTTTTTTAAGTTTTTTGATTGTCATCCCCCTAGGTTTTGACAGATGGACTGCCTTCCTACTAAATAAATTGTTTTAAAATTGTTGGTATTTACATAGTATACATTAAATATGATTAAAGGATTCCAAATAAGTTTAAATCAATTAATAAAATATTTAAGAATYAWTTAAATCRAAAATTGTTTGAATGACTATTCTTATTTTATTTCTTTATATTAATATTTAATTATAGTCAGATGAAGATTTTAATATTATTTATGAAATGACTAGATAATCTTATATTTGAGTTTTTTTTAAATAATTTGGAAAAAATTCTTAGTTTTTAACATAAAAAAATTCATCAATTAATTTATATACAGAGTGATTCATGAGGTGTAAAACACTCATTATTTATAAAAACTATTTACTTTTTTCAAAATTTTAGATCTATGCTATATGAATTTTTAATATTTTTCACCCTTATTTTTATTAGGTAAAGCACTATCAACTTTTTATTTTTAAATGGCAACCTATATTTACAATATTATAAATTAATAAGGCTATTTTTTTTAATGAATTTTCACGTTTAAATTTTCATTTTTTGTTAAACCGTTGACGAGTAATCTCAAAGTTGGATGGTTTTGGGGTGGTGTTTGTGTATAAATGTGTTATACCATGTCAGTACCGCGGCCGCAGCAATTGGGATGTTTGTACTCTAGCGTAAAACATAATACACTTTTCAAATAAATTCAGTAAGTACGATAGTTAAGCCTAAGTTGTGCCCCAAAATAGGTAAACATATTTACACAGGACAAACACCACTCCAAAACCATCCAACTTTGAGAGACTATATCTCGTCAATGGATTAACGAAAAATGAAAATTTAAACGTGAAAATTTATTTAAAAAAATAGCCTTATTAATTTATKATATTTTTAATATAGGTTGCAATTTAAAAATCAAAAGTTGATAGTGGTTTACCTAATAAATATAAGGGTGAAAAATCTTAAAAATTTATATAGTTTTAGAACAGCATGTATCAAAAATTTTGAAAAAAGTAAATAGTTTTTATAAATAATGAGTGTTTTACGCCTCATGAATCACCCTGTATATATATATATATTTTTTTTTAAATTAAATTAGAATAAGATAAATTATTATAATGTTTGAAGAACTTGGTAAAACTCACTGTTCGTAAAATATTTTGTTGAAGAACATATTGCATTATTTCTTCACATTCTTGTCGGTTATTATGAATATCAGCTATAATTGAATTTGTTTGTGCATAAATTAAATTATCCTATATATAACAAAAAAAAAAACAAAAATTGAGTACTTTAAAAGAAATTTATCAAATGTGTCTTACCATATTACAAATATTTGCAATAAATATTTTTCTGGTTGTTTATTTTTATATAAAAACTGAAATTAATATTGAATAGTATATTATTTATTTTAGAAAAAAAATTGTAGTAGGAATACTATAAGAGAGAAGAAGATTTCTAGTAGGTCTATCTAAAGATATTGATTCGATTTTTAGCTGGTTCGTTTAATTTATCTTAATTATTGCATTAAACAAGACGAGGTCATTGGTAATAAATAATTGATAACACAAGTGAAGTATTAAGTTATTAGAATATAGCGTACCTACAAAAATTATTTTTAATTGTTTTAATTCATAAATATTTATTTTTTATACTTATATTTAATCATTATCTGAATAACTTTAGTATAATAAAAAAAAATGTTTTCATTATGATAAAGGTAATTAGTAATTACTAATTACTAATAATTTCAACAAAAAAAAAWTTTTTTTGCTATGAAATTAAAACTCTTGAAATGTATTATAAACTGTTGATATTGTTTTTAGTTGTACTATCTACTACCTAAATTATTATTTTTTAACCCTCAAGATTACATTATTTTGTCTTGTTTTCACTCTTTTAAAGTACTTTTATATGGGTAATTATATAATAATATGTTATTTTGTATACATTACATTTAAAAAAAMATGTTAATATGAAGGGGGTTTTTTGGATAAATATAGTGATTAATAAGTGAAAATATTTTGTATAAATTAAAAATTGGGRCAGTGGGTGACTTACTTTTTTTAAACTGCTTGTGCTCTTAAAATACCTCTGTGCGCCACTGCACAGTTTATATAATATTTATCAAAATGGTAACAAAAAAGTAAATTAGGTGAAAATAAATAAATATCATGAAAAATTTTCAAGATTTGTATTCCCTTTGCCTTCCGCTTATATATACTTAGATAATTATGAACAACTTTTATTAAMACTTGATGAAGCATGTAAATACAAAAATATTTTACTTTGACATGGCGTGCTTTGTATTAAACTTTTTTTAAATTTGTTTTTTAGTGCTAAAGAATTCAGTAGTATCTCAATTGATTCCATCACAGTTAAATCACCTCGTCAAGAATTGCAGAGTGTTATATCACAAATAGAAAGAGAAAATAGGTAAAGACATATTATATGATTTGGTTAATTTTTAATATAGTAAATAATTACTTTAGGTTGTACAGAAAATTGCATATATTTAAAAATAACTTCATCCATTGAATTATATTACGCATCAATAACAAACACAAATAAACTTAATTAAATATTTTATTGGAATAGTTCTCAGGTATTTAAAATTAAAAGTGCATGCAAGAATATGAAAAATATTTAACTTGAATTATTACACTTGGAGATTTTAGATTTTGAGCTTTGCGATAAATTTACTGATTTTACAATAATGTGTATTTTTTTCTGTCTGTCATCAGCATTTGGTGATTACATTTGACTTCATTTTTCAACATCAGAACCTATTCTGATAGAAAAGTGAATTTAGATAAAACTTTTGAGAGGTAAAAGTTGAAAATTCCCATTAGTTAGTATGTTGATTAAAAAGTGGGTAAAAAATAGTAATTTTTACACAAAATCAATTTTTAATATTACTCAAAAACTAAAAACCGCAGACACTGGAAACTTTCACAAAATATATGTATTGTCATTTTCCATATAAGGAAATATTTATTTATGTATTATATGTGTTAACATTTTTCGAATTTAGTCATTTTGCTAAAATTARTTCAGAATAAAAACACTCACTCAATAAAAAAGCTTGAAAATTTAATTTAAGATTCCTCATATAATAGGGGTTCAAAAATATTGAACATAATTAGACACGATTATTTTATCTATGAATTTAAAGTTTGATTTTTGACAAAATTCATCAAAATCTCAAGGTTAGTTTTTAGTTGAAATTCGTAAAAATGTTCTTTCCTTAGCTAACGTCAGGGATTCGAATGGAAGATTCTTCACGATTCGTTTTAACTTAAAAATAAAAAAATAAATAATTATCTAATGTAATATTAATTTTTTTGTGATCGTTTGAATTTAAAAAWAAAAATACGATATTAGATTTTCTACAATATTTAGTGATTTTCCATTTATCAGTTTTTGATATTTTGCTGTAATTCAAAAACAAATAACTTTGAAATTTTCAATAAATAATTATATAGCCATGAGAAAATTTTCAAATTTTGTAAATTATTTTTCAGATATAAATTTATAAAAATTTGTTTTTCATAGCTAATATTAGAAATTTTATTAGTAGGTAGTCAATTCACTCTCAATTTTAAACTAACAGAGCTGCACTCGTTCCGCAGTGTGTAAATTTTGCTATATTACGCACTTTTAAGACGGAGACAACACATGCGGGTATCACGACCTCTATAAATGTTTATACATTCATAAATAATAATATCTATATATTTTATCAAAGTACCGCGTATTATTTTCGTTTGATCTGTTATATATTTTAACAAAATATTTTTTTAGCTAAATGTTAAAATAATAAAAATATGAATTGATAATTATTTTAAGCTTAATAGTGTAATGCTGTTTTGCGTAAAAAATTGATTAAATTTAATGGATCACTAAATCTTTTTTAAGGGACCATTAGCTCTCTTTTGATTATTCATTAAATGTTTAGTGCAACCCGGCATAATTGTWTTATAACATAAAATAACTATTTTATCAGACAATCATGGAAATATATTACATCCTTCTTTAATATGTAAGTATATTAAAAAGGTCAAATTTAGACGTTTTATCATAATATTATGATCAAATTTAAACATGTTATAAGTAGGTATTTCTTTTAAGATTAGGGAACTTAAAAAATATATCAATGATTATTGATTACAAAGTAATGACTATTACTCAACAATAAACAATTCATCAACAATAATAATATATAATAGGCTCGGATTTTATAGCAATAAAAATAACTGGAATAAGCGTTATAATATGACATAGAAAATCTTAAAATTATCTCTAAAAACATAAAAAAATAGCAAAAATAAAAAATTTATTCTTCTTCAAGTTAAAAAAAAAAAAAAAAAAATTGCATACGAATATTACAGAATATTTTAGACAAAAATGTATAAATACTGCTCGTACAACTGATAAGGAGCCATAATTATTTACTGTTACTAAAGGCCAATTCGCCAGACTACTTTAAAATCGATTTCCATATAAATAAAAATGTAGGTATTTTCTATTTTTTCTATAGATTCAAATAATATAATTT